TATTTCATATAAACACTGTCAATGCACTTTTCAATATCATCAGCATGTTAACCAACAATCATGAATGAATAGTAACTACTTATATATAAATATACTTGCAATAATACTCACATTCACTAACACGTAGGACGGGGTTGACGGACCATCTCTGCCACCGGCGTCCCCCAAAACAACGGTTTCATTTGATATCTAAAACAAAAAAAAAAAAAATGTTAGTTTCTTCCACTCGCGAGTGTTTTATGACGAAGGATATAATGTTATGCACTTGAATTTATTTTGTTCGCATGTTCAAATAGTTAAATAATGAAATATCAATGCATGCGATAGTAACATATACCTGGCCTGTTGCTTTCGTTGACTTCCTCCTTTTCCCACTATTTAACTCTATGGCTGGTTTCAGCCTCCTAAATCGTCCTTTAGAGGTATCTTTAACTTTCAGGGACATGAGAATTATTCCACTGTTGTTTTTCACCCTTTTTTTTCCATTACCCTTTGCAATTTCTCTGCAAACCTACAACTACAGGTTATTTGTACTGTTCTTTTCCAGTCCAGTGCTTTTTCTAATAGATCATTATATCCTTTGGGGTCGTGCGATGCAATGGAAGATATTTCAGTCAGTATACGGCAAAGCGTCCTATGCCGTCGCTTAATCTCAAGTTGAGGATCCGGATTCATGTCAGTGGAAACAATTTCCTCCAACCTGCCATCTCTAGCATTTCTAGTCCACCTTTTTATTATATATCACGAAGGCAACTCATTCACAAACATGCAGTCTTTAAGGATTTTCAGACTGTGCCTGCACAAATAACCCTCTCTTTGAAATTTACAACATGAGCATGACAATTCATCTTCAAGTGTCCTGCTCACACGATGTCGCACCCCGTCCTCACCAGCAACTTTATAAACACGGTGTCCATTGTTATCCAAGTCAATGCAACTAATAACAGCCTGACTTGCAAGAGCAGCTAAAAACTCCTCCTGGAAAAGCTGAAATATTGCCTTGGTGTACACCTTCCCCGCTTGACGTAATATGTGGCACTTTGTTTTTAGTTCTAGTTGCTTCTCCACCAAGCCATACTCAGCTTCATACTCCTTGTACCGCTTGTCGGACAACAATCTGTCAAATTGTGCGAAGAATTTTGGTAGAATAAGTTGTCTGGAAAGGTAATACTTCAATTAACCATTGAAGCTTTCACTCAATTGCGTGCTACTCATTCCTGCAGACCAGTCGTGTTTGACAAATGCCAGGGCCCATTTATGTCTCAAATCTAATAAAGTGGAAAGCCACTTATTACCAGCAACACCATACTCTGCAATCATTAAATCCCATTCCCTGATAAAATCATCCTCCTCCTCAATTTGGAACATTAATTTTGAGATAACCTTCTTTATTCCTTCAACGCGTTCAAACAGAAACAGTAAATTCTTCTGCGCATTTTTCATTAAGTGTCAAACACATAAATGATGTTTCGTCACCGGCATGACCTTCACGATTAATTAACTTAATACCCATGTTGCAAATATGCAAATCCAAAAAAATACAACCGACTGAAATAATACAATTGTTTCAGCATGAAACAATACAAGAATAGAGATGCATGAAAGTTATTCACCTACTTTAATGCCTTCGCCATTGCAGCATCTTGATCCGTAATAATTGTCTTTGGCACTTTTCCGCCCATCGCTTTCAAGAACGTTTCAAATAACCAGACAAACGAATCCGTTGTCTCATCATACATTATGGCTGCTCCAAACACGGCGGTCTCCCGGTGATGATTCATACCCAAGAAAATTGCAAATGGTTTGTTGCCGTGTACCACTTTGTATGTTGTGTCGAAACTGATAACATCTCCAAACTGGCCATAATCAATAATCATTTTACAATCTGACCAGAATATGTTCATAATCATTTGCTCAGTATCCAGTTGAAATGAATAGAAGAACGAAGGATCTTCACAACCACGTGTCTCAAAATAATCCACAAGTCATACCGCCTCTCCATAAAGAAGCTCATTTTGTCTTCGCGTCCTTAGATAATTTTTAAGATCCACTTTCAAGTATCCAATTGATTCTTTGCCACCAGACTGCCTTCCCATCAACTCATATGCATTACAAGCCAGAACTCCTGAATCCGAAGCCAACTCAACATCAATGGCCTGGACTGAGGAAATTCGTCACTGGGACGGCATCATGTGGTTGCATTCAGCAATTATGAATGAATGGTTGTGACTTTTTACAAATTTAGAAACTACGTACTTTGCCTTTGTCTTGTCATATATAATAACCATTCGTGCACCACAATTGGTTCGTGTTTTAGCCCGGGGAGTCTTTCTAAATACATCCCGTTTATCAGTCCCCTTCACACCTTCCTTGCTACAAACAAACGTCCTCGATGTAATTCTTCCATTAACTTTATTGCCATACTCCTTCCGGATGCTAAAACCAATTCGACCACCATATGCATTGTAAAAATCATATGCCTCTTCCTCACTATCAAACTCCATTTTATACCTTGGTTTCCATTTCATCACTTCCGGTTCTACAACAGCAACATTTCGTCCGTTTGTTGTGTTTTGAATATTATTTACTTCACCTTCCATCTGAACGCCTCAAATACAAAACATTTTCTCACATATGCACAAAGTATTGAATTAACAAAAAAAAAAAAAATTACTTCTACATCACAAGTATGTTCCATCTCAATGTCTCAAATACAAAACATTTTCACATGTATGACCAATCAAATAAAAAACCTTTTCACATGTATGAGAAATTAAATTTGACATATATATATCTCATTCATTTTATTTCTTTGCATGTATCAATCAAGTATATCCCAGACAAACGACAATAAAAATCCTCGTTGCCACCAACTAATGCTAATTTCACATACACTTTCTGAAAATGTTGGGATTAATATTACACAAAATTTGGGATTTACGTTACCAAATAGTTGTGATTCACCTTACGAAATAGTTGGGACTCACCTTAGAAAAAATTTGGGATGTACCTTTCAAGAAGTTGGGATGTGATTTACGAAACCTTTGGGATTCACATTAAGAAAATTTTGGGATATACTGTACAACTACTTTGGGATTTAAATTACGAAAATTTTGGGATGTAAGCTAGGAAAATGTTGTGACTCACTTTACAAAAATATTGGAATGTAGATAAGGAAGAATTTGGGATCCTTTTTAGGAGAAAGTTGAGATGTAACTTAGGAAAATGTTGCGATGCAAGCCCAACGACCAAACATTTTCTTAACATTCACATTCTGAACCACTCTTTTCCAGCCAGTCATGTACCCTAAAAATCCTTTCATTTTTTATCCTCACAAATAAACATTCAAACCCCTCATAACTGCGCAATAAAATAGCGATCAATTCAATTTCACCAATAATTTTCTATTTCTTGGTTTTGGGATGTACGCTAGGAAAATGTTGTGACTCACTTTACAAAAATATCGGAATGTAAATACGGAAGAGTTTAGGATGCTTATAAGGAGAAAGTTGGGATGCAACTTAGGAAAAATGTTACGATGCAACGCCAACGACCAAACATTTTCTTAACATTGTAACACTCACACTCTGAAACATTCTTTTCCGGCCACTCATGTACCCTACAAATCCTCTCATTTTTTATCCTCACAAAAAAACATTAAAACCCCTAATAACTGAACAATAAAATAGTGATCAATTAAATTCACCAATAATTTTCTATTTCTGGGTTTCTTACCAAAATTGTGTCTATATATATTTGTTTCTGCCATTCAGTTCTTATGGAAATCAAATGATTTCCTAAAAAATCAAATCTCAAAATTATGAATCGTACCTAATTAAGGTTGGAAATAAGGCGATTTCCTGCTTCGATTTGGAAATGCACTCCCGCTTAGCTTTGGAAATACACTGTTGCTTCATTTTGGAAGGAAATCAGAATCTGCAATTTCATTGCAACTGACAGAACCGCTGCTTCTAGTTGGAAACAATTTGTAGCATCTAAATTTTGGGTTGATTCACACAACAATCATTGCTTCTGGATTCTATTTGGAAAGAAATAAATTTCTAAAATGCCTTCATTCATATTTTGGAAGAGACGAAGGCTAGGGCGGAATTTTATTTCTATTTCAAATGTCGCCTGAAATGAGGGAGGGAAGAAGAAGAAGAAGAAGAAATAAGGGAAGAAACACAAAAAGGGTATTCTGCAATAGTATATATATATATATATATACACACACACACACACCAAAATTATGTATTCCAAAAATATATTTTTTATCCAAACATGGTTAACACTATTCATTAACCCAAAATGGAGGAAATGGGGCACTATGGAACTGGAGGTGATCCTGGTCCGTGGTTCTAAGTGCGTAAAGGAGCCCTAGCCAATACCGCAGCATTTTTCTTACACGGGACCTTGGCTGACATTGGATCTATTTGAGACTTGAACTCAGATGCTCTTGTTTGGCTCGAAGCAGTACGTCATATGCATAAAAATAATGTTAATCCCGTGCTTTGCCTTGATTGCGAGTTGGCTCATACTAGTACAATACTGTTAATCTGAGAATACACGAGTCCATCAAGTGCATACCCAAATTGAGACCTAGGAATTTTTATTCCCAAAACGGACTTCTCCAAGACCTTCTCTAAGAAAAGATGATCATATCATTGAAGATGCATATATCTCTGGTCTCCTCCATCAATCTCAAATCTAGTTGATACCATTATTTTCTTAAACTTATCATGCCACCATTTATTTTTTTATTTTAATTTTTGGCAAACACATGTAAAAAAACAAAAAAAAAAAATTTAAAATATTTAAATTGGACTAAGATGAAGAACTCGGAAATAATTGGGACTGGAGGGAACCAATATTTGCTTTTGACCTGATTGCATAAAATATTTCCAGATGTTTCTCTTCGTTGATCAAATCAAGCTTACATCAAAGAATGGAGTATCAATGTAAAAATAAAAATACATAAACATGATTTCAAAGGCAGACGGTTAGTCAATCAAAACTACTCCAACTTTGATAAACGTGTGACAATGTCCTCTTTTACATTAACCAGATGATAAAATTTAAACAACAAAAATCAAAGTATATATTATAAATTATTTATAAATAAAAAATGGTTCCAAACAAATGTTGCCTTCAAGGTTGAAATTCCCCAAACCATAAGCTAGCTACGTTCGTGAATGGACAGAGTGGTTCATAATCTGCAGCAGAGTTGCACAAGAGAGAATCGGATGATCAAAGAGTATCAGATTTAAGTGTAAACACAAGACAGTATAATTAATTAATACACAAGATAACTCACCACATATGGTGCTTTGTAAGGCCATGATCCGCATAAATTTGGTTACATTCACTTGCTAATTTATAACATACAAGTCTTGTTGAAAAGAATTTTGATTCTGAATCTGTGTTTTCCTACTATCCTGCAAATTTGAAGGAAAAATCCTCTAAATCACTCTAGAGAAGTGTTGCGTATTTTCATGTTCTCCTACAAAATTCTTCCTTACCTCATCTGAAATTAGCGGAACTCATCGTGGTACTCATAGTCTTCTTCGTCTTCGTTGAATATAGCGCTATAAAATACATATGGGCTCTCGATCATCTCTGTCAAGGTTAGACGTCCATCTTTATCTGCATCTGCCTGCAGAACAAATTAACAAATTTTCAACAACAGAACCTGTCTACTCGATATTAAGTTTATGATATGCCAAATGTGAGCCAAAAATAGCCAATACCATCATGCCATTTAGTAAATAGCTTGTAATAATAACCACCACCAACACTTATTCATACTTAGGGTAAGATAAACTCTAACATCCATTTCAATTCAAATGGACCATAACTGCAGATAATTTCAGAAATTTTCAACAAGGAAATCTCACTACCAAAAATAAAATAAAATTATAGCACAAAATCAGGTAATAAATCAACTCGATCCCAAAATTTGATTGTAAGTTTGTCATCTACATACAAACTTATATTACCACATAATCTAGGATTTGATATTTTTGTCTCACTTTACAAACACAAGTCAAAAACATGTAAAAGTTGTATAGCCAATGTTATCATTTTCAGATAAAAAAAAAAATTATAACTCAATTGGTAAGTTATTATAAAACTTGAAGTTCACAGTTAACCTTAACACTTTTGGATGAATAGTACATCCTTTAATTTGTTTTCAATCTAGATAAGACAATATATTAATCAACCATATATATATAGGACAATACTTGCCTACTCACCGGTGAAGAGGAAATTTATACTCACCATGTATATGCACGATGCTAAATTGACAAGTGTCCTTATATTGTAGAATTACTTTTTATTTAGTTTTGTACATCTAAAATAGATTATATATAACCAGCAAAAATATACTTTTTATTTAGTTTTGTACATCTAAAATAGTCTATATGAGAGGAGAGATAATTATAATTTGATTCGGATTCATTTGGGTTTACCTCGAATAGTTATCAAATTATTTATTTTTTATTATTTTAAATGTAAGGACACTTGTCAATTTAGCATTGCGCCACGTACGTGGTGAGTATAAGTTTCCTACTCAATGGTGAGTAGGCAAGTATTATGCATATATACATATATATATATATATTGATAAGTTATATTAACCAACCATATTACTTTATTTAAAATAAAAAAAAATAAAAAAACATATATTAACCCATATTAACAAGATACATCCTTGTTTTCAAGAACATGTTTTTAAGAGGTTTTGTGTTTCACATGGGAGAGAGTCCAGGATGTCTGGAGCAAGTGTCCGAAATAAACAATGGACATGTATATGAGGTGTCGGACAAGTATTTAGGAGTGTATACAAAGTGTAAGAATTTGACATGTATCTGATGCGGATACAACACCTTTTTTAGAACTGTTGGTGCTTCTCAGGACTCCAAAATAAAGAAAGTGAAACAGTAGTCAGCAACATGACTAAAAGATAACAATCATTAAAGTCATTAAGGGGCAACTATGACTGAAGGTTCTTAAACTTTTATAACAATCACTTGTCTAAGTATTTAAGCTCCTAAACTCTTTTATTCATTTTCTATTCTTTGGCCCCAACCAATAGAATTTAATAGTACGGCAAAGTGATAGAACTTTTCATCCACTCCTAGTTTTTCCCCTCTCTTACCTTTTCTATTAAAACTCCTAACCCTTTTTTAAAAAATCCTTATCTCATCCATAGTTGTTAAAGGCGCCGGAGGCGCAAGGCGCCACCTTGGCGCCTTGATTGACTTAAGGCGAGGGACTTGATATAGGCAAGCGCCTTTTGGGATAAGGTGCTGGGCTACAAGCGAGATGCAGGCGCGCCTGTTTGAAAAATAAATTTTTATTTTAATATTTTGTTATTATTTTGGTTGTGTAACTTGTCTTACTTGTATATTTTATTATTTGTTTATTTCTATTACAAAACCTATATACAACTTGCAAGTTACAAAGCAAAAAAAAAAAAAAAAAAAAAGAAATCAAAAAGCAAAAGGAAAGAAGAGACTCCAGAGACAGAGAAGTACGACTGTACGAAGCACCGAAGCCTGGACTCCACTCTCGGATCTGCTGGATCTGCGTCTGCGCCGAAGCCTGGTAAGTTCTCCTTCCCTCTCTCCTTCTTCTCTCCTTCTCTCCTTCTTGCTTCTTCTTCTCTTGAATCCCTTCTCGGTATTTTTTTTTTTTTCTCTCTTCTTCTTCTTCTTTTCTTCAGTTCTTCTTCTTCTCTCAGCTCTCTCGAGTCTCTACTCCCTAGTCTCTTTTACTTTTTATTTTTTGAGCCGATACCTCTTCTTTTATTTAATTTTTTTTTTTTCCCCTCTATTCTTCTTCTCTTGGCTCTCTTGCTCTTCTTTTATTTTTATTTTTTTTTTTTTTTTCTCTATTCTTCTTCTCTCGGCTCTCTCTGCTCTTTTTTTCTTATTCTTTTATTTTATTTTTTTATTTTATTCTTCTTTGAGCCAAGTCTCGGCTCTTCTTTTATTTTTTAATTTTTTTTTTTCTCTATTCTTCTTCTCTTGGATCTCTTGCTCTTCTTTTATTTTTTTATTTGTTTTTCTCTATTCTTCTTCTCTCGGCTCTCTCTGCTCTTTTTTTAATTTTTTATTTATTTTTTTAGGCTGGTCCTCTGTTTTTGGTCCTCTATTTGTTTGGTCCTCTGTAATATATAAAAGAATTAATTGATGCATGTGAGATACAATTGGAAGTTGTATATTGACTGTTGGCACTTGAAATTGTGGGCTGTGACCCTTGTGAAGGAAATTGGGCAGTGTTGTTAAATGGAGTAAGGGCTGTGTCTATGTATATAAAAGAGAATTGTTGCATGTTAGGTATTAATTGATGCATGAAACAAAATGCTTATATAGTTATATACATAACATTACTATGTCTCTCTCTCTCTCCACTGTTGAAGTCTGAGTGACTCATTCATTTACTATTGCATCTTTATATATACTATTGCATCTTTAATACTCTTGCATCTTTAATACTTTATTAGGTGGGTTTTGTTCTTTTTTTTTTTCAACGTGCGCCTTGCTTCAGTCGGGCGCGCACCTCGCCTTGCACCTTGCGCCTCAGGCTCCAGGAGGCATTTGCGCTTTTGTGCGCCTTGAGCCTTTAACAACTATGATCTCATCCCCCCCTCATTGCAACAGCCAATAAGATGTATTTAATGCTGTGGACTCCTAATTTTTTTTATTCATCCTTTATTCTTAGGCCCCAATCAATAACGTGTATTATTAATAGTAGGCACCTACAGTTTAATTCTTCTATATTCATTCATATCTAGCGGATAATTATTAATTAGCATTGGAAGGTGATAAAACTTTACATTTACTCCTAATCTTCCCCACTTTCCTATCTTTCCTATTAAACTCCTAATTTTTAATTTTTAATTTTTAATCTCTCCTCACGTTTCTTTTCTTCTCCACCTAAACTAAAATCTTCTCCATCTCTCTCTAACTCCTGATTTTTTATTTTTTTCTGAGTACCATACCCTTACTAATAATACAGTTAAGTATCATACCCTTGCTATAAAATCAAACTCCCTCTACAGTAAAAATTGGGTAGGTGCTCCCTGGCCATCTTCTACATTCTGTCTAAAGGACCATGATGGAGGACATCAATGAGGAAGTACAACAAGGCCACCAGCAATAAAATAATTTGGGCCACGACTTCAATTATAGTATAGGGTTAAAAAGACGGGAGTAAACTATGGTTAGGGATTTATGATCAAAAGGTTAAGGTTTTATAATGAAATTAGGGTTTGAAAGGACTGGTTGTGGTTATTGAGTGTGCGAGTGGTCATAGAAATTAATTTTTGATAAGTAATATTTCATTATAAAGCACTCAAGGCTGGACCGCACCCAAGGAAGAGTGGTCATAGAATTTATAGAAGAAATATAAAAGATACTGTAAATCTTAAAATCTCAATTAAAGCCCCGTAGGAGTCGTACCTAGAAGATATTACTCGAGTCTCACCATTAGCAAAGTATCCTTGAAAAATTAAAAAATTATACCTTATAAACTCCTAGCAAATAAAGAATTCCTAAACACACTCAAGTAAAAGGACCTGACAAAAACCATTATCAAAATGTCTAAGTTGAACACATAATAAAGCTAAAATTACGAAATTTTATTTTTTTCAAATGAAAAGGTGTTCGGGCCATGTGAGTTAGTAGCACTTAATTGGACATGATAGAACACAAACGTTTTGACACACCAAATCCTAAATTTATATGATATGAACACAGCATGGACACAATCACACATAAATACCACCACCACCAAAGCCTTTTTTTTCCAACTACTTGGGGTTAGCTATATGAATCATTATTTTCCATTCCGCTCTATCTAAGGCCATGGCCTCACTCAAACTGTTAGCAGATATGATATCTCCCCCCAAATAGCACGAATTTTGGCGATGTAACCTGAAACTATCAAGTCACCCTGAGAAATCCTGGTGATGTCTCGCTCCAACTGGAAAATCAGTGCATTATTCTGCATCTGAGAATAAGTGCGTTGAACTGAATCCCAAATCTACTTAGCAGTCTTCATAAACATATAGCCAACGGCTATGTTTGGCTGCATCGAATTGACTAGCCAAGACATAACCATAGCGTTATCTGCAAACCACTGTGAATATGCCTTCTCTGACTCAGATGGCTCTTTTTCAGAACCAGTAATATAGTCAATCTTGCCTTTGCCACCAATGAACAACTTGGTACACTCTGCCCAAATCAAATAGTTGGAGCCATCCAACTTCACTGTGGTGATTTGAAATTCTAGATTTTTTGATGAGTTGGTGGGAAAAATTGGACCATCACCCAAAGAACTTGAGCCAAGAGAATTAACAGTCAAGGATCCTAAATCTGCCATAATCTGTCACATGACAATAAACAATTCCAAAAACACCACAAATTCTATTAATAAATCAAAGGGTCTCCTCAGACCATAAACAATAACAATGTCTCCTTAGACCATTCCCAAAAAGTGCAAATACAAACATTTTTAAGGAGCGTTGCCCGCTTACATAGCCAGACAACCTCTTTCTTAATATCCAAAACCTCTCTGTAGACTCAAAAAATATTATCCAAGCCCTTCTAGGTATTGGAGACTAACTATCCCAATTTACCCAACCCT